AAAAATACAAAAATTAGCCAGATGTGGTGGCAGGCACCTGCAGTCCCAGCTACTCGGGAGGCTGAGGCAGGAGAATGGCTTGAACCCGGGAAGCGGAGGTTGCAGTGACCTGAGATACTACTGTTCCACTCCAGCCTGGGTGACAAGAGCAAAACTCCATCTCAAAAAAAAAAAAAAAAGAAAAAAGAAAAAAGAAAAGAAAGAACGAACCCATAGGAAGCCCCTTGGCTCTCAGTGGGGGCCAGTAGCATCCCCTAGGCTCCTGGACTATAATTCAGTCTTTAAACCCCAGGTTCCAAGATCTGTTTGGAGGGTGTTTCCAAAGTCAAGTTCCAGGCGGCTCCTGAGGGTGACGGCAGCTCCTCAGGAGGCCCAGAGAGGCTGTGCAGAAGGGAGGGGCACCTGCAGGCTCGCACGGGTTGTCCCTGGCACTGCACCTGGCATCAGCACAGATTCTGACAGTAAGAACAAACACAGAAGGGCCCCAGGACATTCAAAAGCCTGTGGCCAACATGGCGAAACCCCATCTCTACTGAAAATACAAAAATTAGCTGGGCGTGGTGGCAGGCACCTGTGATCCCAGCGACTCAGGAGGCCAAGACTTGAACCCAGGAGGTGGAGGTTGCGGTGAGCAGAGATTGCACCACAGTACTCCAGCCTGGGCGACAGAGTGAGACTCCACCTCAAAAAAAAAAAGTCTGTGGCAATCCTGCTCTTAGCTGGTCCTTGGACCCTGGGAGGACTCATTCATCATTTTCTTGTCACACAGTAAACATCAATGGCCCCCTCCTCCTCCCTCTCATACCGCTTCGGGCTGGGCCCCTAGCCAGCTGTCTTGAGTCTGGATAGGACAGCGTGAGACAGTCTCCACTGGGGGTCACTGATAGGGAGGTGGTCTTTTAACTCTTTTTTTTTTGAGATGGAGTCTCGCTCTGTCGTCCAAGCTGGAGTGCAGTGGCACGATCTCAGCTCACTGCAACCTCCGTTTCCCAGGTTCAGGTGATTCTCCTGCCTCAGCCTCTCAAGTAGCTGGGATTACAGGCACCCACCACCACACTGGGCAAATTTTTGTATTTTTAGTAGAGATAGGGTTTCACCATGTTGGCCAGGCTGGTCTCAAACCCCTGACCTCAAGTGATCTGCCTGACCTGGCCTCCCAAAGTTGTGATTACAGGCATGAGCCACCAAGCCCGTCTGTTAACTCTCTCTGAATTCCAGGCAGAGGGACCCGGGGTCCACCGTAGTGGGTTTTTGTTTGTTTGTGTGTTTTGTTTTGTTTTGTTTTTGAGATGGAGTCTCACTCTGTCACCCAAACTGGAGGGCAGTGGCAAGATCTCAGCTCACTGCAACCTCCACCTCCCGGGTTCAAGTGATTCTCCTGCTTCAGCCTCCTGAGTAGCTGGGATTACAGGCCCCCCGCCACCATGCCCTGCTAATTTTTGCGTTTTTGGTAGAGACAGGGTTTTGCCACATTGACCAGGCTGGTCTTTAACTCCTGACCTCAAGTGATCTGCCTGCCTCAGCCTCCCAAAGTGCTGGGATTATAGGTGTGAGCCACCGCGCCCAGCCTGTTCGTTCAAGACAGGGTCTCACTCTATTGTCCAGGCCAGAGTGCAGTGGTGCGATCACAGCTCACTGCAGCCTTAAACTCCTGGGCTCAGGTGATCCTCCTGCCTCAGCCTCCCAAGTAGCTGGGGCTAGAGGTACATGCCACCACCCCTGGCTAATCTTTTTTTAATTTTTAGTAGAGATGGAGTCTCACTATGTTGCCCCAGCTGGCCTGGAACTCCTGGGCTCAAGTAATCCTGCCTCAGCCTCCCAAAGTGCTAGGATTCTAGGTATGAGCCATGGCACCCAGCCTATCACAGTAGTGTAACCTAAAGGGACTGGCTCCCCTGGCCAGACTTCACCTGGGACACCGAGGCATTTGACTGAATCTGTTTCTGTCTATACCTGGAGGGGCTCTGGTGGCTAGTGGGGGTGCAGGCAGCATGGAGGAGGGGCTCTCAGAGATGAGGGGCTCAAGGGCTTGCTTGGGAGGGAGCACGACCAAAACCACATATCTGGCCCTGAAATGCATGTGTGGATTTTCCTGGGTTATTAGAAGATGGGGGCACCTCAAAGTACAAGCCAGGACAGCAATCAAGGGACAGGCTCCGGGTAATCCCATGGGGCAGAAGCTGAGCAGGGCCCTGGGCTCCCAGTATAAATTTCCTGTCCCGGCAGGGGCACCATTCAGGCCAGGGTGGGCTCCAGACCGCATTTATTCACCTCCAAAGAGGGCTGCAGCCCAAGGGTCACCACCGAGCGCCCTCTGTGGGCAGGGCCTGCAGGCCAGGAGCCGTGGTCACATTAGAGGGCCTGGGAGCGGAGCGCGGCCCAAGGGGGCGTGCGCAGCGGCGGTGGACAGAGTGCAGCGGGAAAGTCACTGAGCCTCAGTTTCTCCATTTAGAAAATCGCGGCGGCTGGGCGGACTGTATGGCACGCAGCGGGCTCTCAGGCGTGACTGCTCATCCCTCTGGCTTGGCGGAAGGAGGCCTAGAGTACTGACCTCCACCGACCCCGCCACGCGGCATCTGCTACCGCCTTGGAGATAGGAGGGGGCAGCGAATAGGAGTGCGCATGCGCACTGTCCGTGAGGCGGCCTGGCTGCGGCTCCCTGGCGCTCCCGAGTGGCGACGACGGGAACCACCGGCCTTATACACAGATGGACACTTGGGGTTCTTCTGCACAGAGGGTCCTTCCAGGTGATGGAGGCTCCTGGGTCCCGGAGAGCCTCCTGGGATGGCAGTCTAAGGGCGTGACAGACCCCCGACAGCAACAGGTCACATCTGGACACGTGGTCATTTCAGGTCTAGAGAAGGCAGCTCCCCAAGGTCAGGACCAGCTATGCCTGAAGCCCCAAGTCTAACACTGTATGTGGCATACAGCAGGTGCTTAATAAATGCTTGAGAGGGTGGATAAGGGCGAGAGCCATCCGTATGCGCAAGAGGGTTGGAGGTGGTGGCCAGAATTGGTAGTCAGATGACCATGGAGAGTCCCACTCTCAGAAAGGTGCTGTGCCCAGGGGCAGTAGGGACACCTCTGAATCCTTACCCTGCCCAGCCACTGATGGGTGGGACAGGGGACAGAGGGCGGCTCAGGTCGCATAGGCCCCGGGATGAGCCCAGCTTCCTGCACTAGGCAAAGCACGGTCCCCTGCAGGCCTCCTCCTGGGGTCTGGAAGCTTGAGGTCAGGGGGGCCTGTCCACACAGCCTCCAGCCTTCCTCAAAGGAGGTCAGGTGAAACAGAGGTGGGGATGGAGGTGGGGACTGGGTGTCCAGTCTGCCCATGACCCTCCCCTAAACCCTCCTGAGTGCAACTTACAGATGTTTGGAGAGGGAGAGAAACCGGAAAGGCAGAGGCAGGGGGGCTGGTGCTGGGATTTCAGGCAGGGTAGGGGGTGTGCTGGCCAGCGGGGAAAGGCAAGCAGCCCTGAGGGGGCCTGTGGGTGCAGAAGCTGGGACTGAGCACCATGCACTCGCTCCCTGCGCCCCACCTCCCCTAGCCCCATGCACAGAGGCCAGGCTAGGGGCTGAGGCTGGGGAGGGGGTCCTGGCCAGGCTCGCAGCCCACTGGCAGTGTGGCAGCCTCGCTGGGCGGGATGTGGTGGGTCATGTAGCGCTTCCCCATGAAGGAGCCGATCCGCAGCTGCTCGGGGGCCTCCTCCGGCCACCACAGGCTGGAGCTGGGCGGGGAGAGGAGAAGGAACAGATGTATGTCCCTGCCATGTGGGGCGGGTGCTGGGTCAGGGCCTGTTCTCTCTCCCTGCTCCCTCACCTGCAGTCTCTCTCTCTCTTTTTTTTTTTTCTTCTTTTTTTGAGATGGAGTCTGGCTCTGTCACCCAGGCTGGAGTGCAGTGGTATAGTCTCGGCTCACTGCAAGCTCCGTCTCCCGAGTTCAAGCGATTCCCCTGCCTTAGCCTCCCAAGTTGCTGGGATGACAGGCTGGCGCCACCACACCCGGCTAATTTTTGTATTTTTAGTAGAGACGGGGTTTCACCATGTTGCCCAGGCTGGTCTTGAACTTTTGGCCTCCCGTGATCCTTCTACCTTGGCCTCCCAAAGTGCTGGGATTACAGGCATGAGCCGCTGCACCCGGCCTCATCCGCAGTCTCTGATCCCTCCTTCCTCCTTTCTAGAACCAATTGGAGGACCACCTCTCCAGGTGGCCACCCTGACTACCCTGGCATCAGCTTACTAAACCACCAGAGGATCCACAGAGAGCAGGTGAGGCCCGGGAGGAGAAGGGCCTTGGCTGAGGACACACTGAAAGACAGGGCCTGGGTGAGGCAGGCCCTCCTGAACCTGTCCCCAGAGGGGCTGCTGGCCCCCATCACTGACCCTCAAGGTGCGAGATACTCAGGGTGGGAATTCCCTGCACAGGCCCTGGGAGGGGCGCTGCCCAGCTTGAAAGCATAGCATCCGGCTGGGCAAGGTGGCTCACGCCTGTAATCCTAACACTTTGGGAGGCCGAGACAGGAGGATCGTTTGAGCCCAGCAGTTCCAGACCAGCTTGGGCAACATAGCAAGTCCCTGTCTCTAAACCCCATGGCATGCCTGGAGGGCTTCCAGACACTCGGACCAGTTCAATGGAAGGGGTTCTGGGTGAGAGAGGGGCCCGAGGGGGTGTCCCCACTCACAAGTGTGCGGTAGAGGCTGCCAAGAAGGCCAAGAGCAGGAGGCCGGTCAGAGAAGAGAGGATGGAGGTAATGACGATCATGCTGCCACTTCGCCGCCCTGGCCAGGTGTCGATGGATCCAGGGGTCTTCCCTGAACACACACCAGCTGCTCAGAGGCTGCCCCTCGACCGCAGGGCTGGCTGTCACCTCCTCCCTTTCTCCCTCCCCACCCATGCTCGTGTAGCCTCAAGGCCTGGCTTTCTCATATCCCGAGGCACCCCCCCGAGCCCAACCCCCCGTCCCAATTCCTCTGTGCTCTGCCAGCCTGGACCACGGCCTCCGCCCTGCTCCTACCTTCTAGGTTGCTCCCACCCACGTGCTTATCCACCGCCCTGCTCCCTGGAGCCCAGCAGTCAAGGCCTTCAGATAACAAGACTTCCACCCCACACCCCCTGACCTCTGAAGCCATCTCCCAGGAGACCCCCACCCAACACCCGGGCCGCGGCACTAGAAACTTCTTGGGCCTGGTACATTCACACTCGCCCCTTGGGGTCTGCTCAGAACTCAAGCTGGCTGCCTCCCCAGCCAGCCCCGACCTGACTCTGACCCCCTCCACATCCTCTTCCTCCCTCCCAGCAGGGGCTGACACAGCCTGACTCCCTATAGCAGTGGGGAGGCTGTCTCTGCCCACAGTGTAGCTGGAGCCCAAGAGTTGGCAAACTCTTGCTGATGGGGGGAGATGGTGCCCCTGCCAACGGGGCTGGCTCAGTGCCCCACGCCCCCAGCATGAGGATCTGTTGGGGGTTGGGCCTGACTTGGACGTGGCCTCCAGGCCCCCAGCCCTGTGGGAGCAGGGGTGCGCCCAGCTCAGCAGAGGGGGACGAGGTGGCCCAGAGAGATGGGTGAGTCCACTGGGGGCAAACAGAAGCCAGGGCGCCCCTCCTGCCCAGCGCTACCTTGGTGGAGAGTGATGGGGTCTGACCACTTGGTCTCGGCCCTGGGTGAGCCCCCGGCGTCCATCAGGAGGAACTTCACGCTGGGGACAGGAGGTGGTGGGGGAGGAGGGGAGAGACTCAGAGGCCAGGACCACCCCGGGCAGGGCCAGGTCCCCCAGCAGCTCCTCTGGGCCCCTCCCACGGATGTGGAGTGGGGGTGCCAGTCAAGAGCAGCAGCCGGTGGCCTGGCCCTGCTCTGAGAATCCCCTGAGATGTCTCCAGCCACTTGGCCTGAGCCACCATCCCCCATCCCCCTGAGCAGTTGCTCTCCAGACACCAGACCCGGGCGGGGATGGTTTAGGGGCCCCAGTTCCTAAATGCCACGAGTCCAAAGTGCAGGTGAAGGTGGCTTAGCAAGGCACATGGGCAGGGGTCCCAGGCCTCCCAGAGGGGCAGCAGTAGCCGGAGGGCGGGGGGCTCAGTCACCAGCAGCCCAAGGACCGAGGGCACTAGGAGCCCCGCAGAGGGGCTCGGTTTGTGTCTTTGCAGGGCTGGGAGCTCTGGAAGGTCTGGGCAGTGGGGAAGGACCTGGCAGGTTGGCACTGAAAAGAGTGGCTGCGGGGGACAGGGCGGGGCGTGGAGCTGGAAGCTGAGCCAGGGTGTGGCGGCGGGGAGGGCAGAGGGTGGACCTGGAGAGTGGGTGAGAGGGCAGAGGGGGGCTGGGTGGAGCGGGGTGCTGTTCCAGCTTCTCCATGCCCTGCCTTCCCGGTTCCCCCCGGGCCTGGTCTTCCTGAGGCCACCCCACCTCGTCCTGTGCCCAGACAGTCCTGACCTGGACACACAGCCTGCTTCCCCATCCCGGCTCCACCCCTACCTTGGCAGGCCACTTGACCTCCTGTGCCTCAGTTTCCTCATCTGTAAGAGCGGGTGAGAGCCACCTCTCTTGCTCCCTGCCTCATATCCACAAGACTGGGTCTGAACTCGGCCCCCGAGTTTCCTGCCAGATCTGCCCGTGGTGGGGGCCAGGGGCCTAGACTTTGGGGAAGCTGCCCCCTCCCACCTTGACTAAGATCCCGCCTCCCCGTGGTGCCCACCCGCTCCTCCTGGGCCTTGCCCGGCCCCAGCTGAGGTGAGCACTGTTGCTGACTCTACAGTGGAAGGAGCTCGGGCTTGCAAAGGGGAGGACAGGGGCCAGAGGACCCCTGGGAATATGGTAGAGAGAGCATCCTTGGTCCCAGCAACGCCTCCTCCCCAAGCACAGCCCCAGTCCCAGGGCCCCGGTGGTGGGGGTACCACCCACCGATACGGTCCAGGGCCAGGGAGGGGCGTGTTGCAGAAGGGCCGCTGATGGCAACCGTGGTCATGGCCCACCCGCAGCACGGGGGCACCTCCACTGCCCACCAGGGGGTCGTCACAGGGCAGCCGGTCCAGAGACAGGGGCAGGGTCATGTAGTGGCCGTCGGTCAGCAGCTGTGGGGAGGCCGGGATGTTAGCCAGTGTCTCTGGGTTCTGGAAGCTCCTGGAGGCTGCAATATGAGAGAACAGATGGGGGTAGGAGGGGAGAGACCAGCTTTGTGCTTATGAGCCAGGGTTCTGTGTTCACCCACCCTCCAGCCCTGACCCCCCATGCCACCTCCTCCCTCAGGACCCCCAGAGATAGTCCAGATCCACAGTTGACTTTGTTACCCCTGAAGGAGAGCTTCCCTCTGGCCTTCTGTCCTCACCCAGAGCCAGGAGTGGGGAGCAGCGGGCGGTCCCAACCTTCCCAGCCCCAGCCCCATCGCAGTGCACCAGCCCTGCCCCCCACGAAGCCACATCCTGCCAGGTCGCAGCCTCGGTTTTCCGTCCAAAGGAAGAACTACTTGGATTCAGAGAAAGGGCTGCAGAGCTGTTGACAAACCCGCCACTTAAACAACTCCCAGGATTTGGTGCTCACTATGTGTGTATTTTTCAATACACATACCACCCCTTTGGATAAAGCCCCATTCATCCACACCTATCTCCCAAAGGCCCCACAAGGGCTCAGTCATTGAAGGCGCTTGCTGGTGAGGGGCTCCTAGGGCCCACCACTCTCCTCGGCCGCCACCATCACCCAGGCCCCACAGCTGTCCCCGCACCATTGCTGAAGGCCACCACGAGCCAGACGGTGTCGCTGGCGCTGGCATGCCCGTCAAAGACACAGCGCGGCTGCTCCAGGGAGAAGGTGGTGGCTGTGACCTTCCCTTCCAGGTCCCAGGCTGTTATCTGAGGCGTGTAGGGCACCAGCTCTGTGGCCACGGGGGACAGAAGGTGAGCCACGGAGACGGGCTTGGGGGTCCCTGGGGCTGCCTCTCCCAGTCGGAGGCGGGTGGGCGCCCAGGGTCCAATCACTCCCGCAGGGCCCCCAGCCCCTTGGGTCTGGCTGGACGCGTCCATCCAGGACCTCCACTCACCCAGGCTCAGGCTGGGCCGGAGACAGTTCAGTGCCATGAGGAGCATGTGCAGCCCTAGGAGAGGCTGCCCCCGGGGGAGACCCATGACAGGTGCCAGCACCCAGGAGGCTCAGGGGCTGGTCTGGCTGCCTTGGGCTGCACCCCACCCCCAGCAGCTTGGCCCTGGAGAAGCTGGTTAATCAGGCTGCCCCAGGGGCTGGAAAGACCTGCAAATGTAAGCGCACCCCACCCCCTTCCTCCCAGTCCAGCCCCCAGCAGGGAGGAGCTGGGGGCGGTTCTGGAGGGAGGCAGGCCAGTGCCCAACCCCACTGCCAGGGCCGAGGGAGAGGGACCACTGGATCCCCGGATGCCAGCCAGGCCTTCCCGGAGCCTGGATTGGGGCCCCTCCCAGTCTCTCGGCCCTGGGGAGGAGGGTCTGGCTTTTGGAAACTTGGGCTCAGGACCACATGCTTGAGATTCCTGCGCCCCAGGTGCCAGGAGCCTCCCTCTGGCCGTCTGTCCCCACCCAGAGTCAGAAGTGGGGAGTAGCAGGCACCCTCAACCTGCCCAGCCCCAGCCCCATCACAGCGCGCTGACCCTGCCCCCGACGAGGCCACATCCTCCCAGGTCACATCCTTGATTCCCCATCCAAAGGAAGAACAACTTGGATTCAGAGAAAGGGCTGCAGAGCCCTTGACAGTTGACAAACCCGCCACTTACGCTACTCCCGGGACTTGGCGCCATGTGTGTATTTTTCACATATATAACCACATACCTTCACAGCTCAGTGGCTTAAATAGATATATGTCACCCAGGGAGGGCAGTGGTGAGAGCACAGCTAACTGGAGCCTCAAACTCCCAGGTTCAAGTAATCCTCCAATCTCAGTCTCCCCAGTAGCTGGAACCACAGGCATGCAACACCATGCCCTGGCTAATTTATTTATTTTTTAAAATTTTATTTAATTAATTAATTTTTTTTTTTAAGATGGAGTCTCCTCTGTCGCCCAGGCTGGAGTGCAGTGGTGTGATCTGGGCTCACTGCAACCTCTGCCTCCCGGGTTCAAGCGATTCTCCTGCTTCAGCCTCTCGAGTAGCGGGAATACAGGCACATGCCACCAGGGCCAGCTAACTTTTGTATTTTAGTAGAGACAGGGTTTCACCATGTTGGCTTGGCTGCTCTCAAACTCCTGATCTCAAGTGATCCGCCTGTCTCAGCCTCCCAAAGTGCTGGGATTACAGGCGTGTGCCACCGTGCCTGGCACCCCCGCCAATTTTTTTTTTTTTTGAGACGGAGTTTTCACTCTTGTTGCCCAGGCTGGCTGGAGTACAATGGCCCGGTCTTGGCTCACTGCAACCTCCACCTCCTGGGTTCAAGCGATTCTCCTGCCTCAGCCTCCTGAGTAGCTGTGATTATAGGCATGTGCCGCCACATCTGGCTAATTTTGTATTTTTAGTAGAGATAGGGTTTCTCCATGTTGGTCGAACTCCCGACAGAGTCTCACCCTGTCGCCCGACTATTTTTTTTGTATTTTTAGTACAGATGGGGTTTCACTGTGTTAGCCAGGATGGTCTTGATCTGACCTCGCGATCTGCCCGCCTCGGCCTCCCAAAGTGCTGGGATTACAGGTATGAACCACTGCGCCCGGCCTGTGTCTGGCTTCTTTTACTTTTTCAAGGTTCCTCCTTGACTGTGATTGCTTCATTCCTTTTCACAGTTGAGTAATATTCCATCCTGTGAACGTGTCGCACTTTGATTCATCAGTGGATGCATAATTTGGTTTTTTCCTCTTTGGGGCTATTGTAAATAATGCTGCCATGAGCATCTGTGTGCAGGCTTCTGTGGGGACATTTTCAATGCTCTTGAGTACGTACCTAGGAGCGGAACTGCGGTCACACGCTAATGCTCCTTTCAGAGGTTCCGTTTGCCGAAGTGGCTGCATTTTACATTCCCAGTAGCAGTGGATGAGGGTCTCATTTCTTGACATCCTCTCCAACATTGCTTTATTTTTGTTTCAGTATAGCCATCATAATGGGTGTAGTGTGGCATCTCATGGTTTTTATATTTTATTTTTGAGACGGTGTCTTTTTCTGTTGCCAGGCTGGAGTACGGTGTGGCATGATCTCGGCTCACTGCAACCTCCGCCTCTCGGGTTCAAGCAGTTCTCCCGCTTCAGCCTCCCGAGTAGCTGGGATTACAGGTGCTATCACCACACCCAGCTAATTTTTTATATTTTTGGTAGAGACACAGTTTCATCATGTTGTCCAGGCTGGTCTTGAACTCCTGACCTCAAGCGATCCACCCACCTCGGCCTCCCAAAGTGCTAGGATTACAGGCGTGATTCACTGTGCCCAACCTGGCCCTTTATCTTCTTCAGAGGAACATCTATTCTAGTTCTTTGCCCATTTTTAAATTGGGTTGTCTTTTTGTTGAGGTTTTCTCATTTTTTGTTTGTTTTTGTTTTTGAGACAGGGTCCAGGCTGGAGTGCAGAGGCATAATCTCGGCTCACTGCAACCTCTGCCTCCTGGGTTCAAGCAATTCTCCTGACTCAGCCTCCAAGCAGCTGGAAGTATAGGTGCCCACCAACACGCCCAGCTAATTTTTGTATTTTTAGTAGAGACGGGGTTTCACCATGTTGGCCAGGATGGTCTCGAACTCCTGACCTCAGGTGATCCGCCTACCTTGGCCTTACAAAGTGCTGGGACTACAGGCATAGGCCACTGCACCCAACCTATTGCTGAGTTCTAAGGGTTCTTTATATATTCTGGATACTAGATCCTTATCAGGAATGCGATTTGAAAATATTTTCTCCCATCCTCATCCTCAGAATCCTTTCAAGGAGAAGCATCCAAGGCTCAGGCACCCACCCCAACTCCTGCACTCACAGGCAGTGTGAGTACAGAGTCTCAAATGTGGAACCAGGCCAGGCACAGTGGTTCACGCCTGTAATCCCAGCACTTTGGTAGGCCAAGGCGGGAGGATCACCTGAGGTTAGGAGTTCAAGACCAGCCTGGCCAACACGGTGAAACCCTGTTTCTACTAAAAATACAAAAATTAGCTGGGCGTGGTCGTGGGTGTCTGTAGTCTCAGCTACTCAGGAGGCTGAGGCAGGAGAATCGCTTGAACCCGGAAGGTGGAGGTTGCAATGAGCCGTGATCGCGCCACTGCGCTCCAGCCTGAGCGACAGAGCGAGGTTCCGTCTCAAGAACAACCAACCAATCAAATGTGGAACCAAACAAGTTTGGGGTCCAGCTACGCTGGGGTCTTCTAGGGAGGCCTCAGTACCCTTTTTTCCCTGGACCATGTTACCATTAGGCATAGTGCCCTGGGCCCACACTGTTTATAAGAGCCCACATACATTCTTTTTTTTTTTGAGACAAAGTCTCGCTCTGTCACCCAGGCTGGAATGCAGTGGTTGGATCTCAGCTCACTGCAAGCTCCGCCTCCTGGGTTCACACTATTCTCCTGCCTCAGCCTCCCGAGCAGCTGGGACTACAGGCGCCCGCCACCTCGCCTGGCTAATTTTTCCACCTCGCCTGGCTAATTTTTCGTATCTTTTAGTAGAGATGGGGTTTCACCGTGTTAGCCAGGATGATCTCGATCTCCTGACCTCGTGATCCACCCGCCTCAGCCTCCCAAAGTGCTGGGATTACAGGCGTGAGCCACCTCGCCCGGCCGAGCCCACATACATTTTTAATTTCTGTTAAAATCAGAAGGGAGAAAAATGAACCTTTAGGTGAGAGAAAATCCTCTAGTATACATTAATATATTCATCTTTATACCAACATGTTGTAAAATAGATTTTTTAACAGAGAAATGGGCTCGCCAAGGCCAAAGTGCCTCTGCTTCCCACAGCCAGGAACGAGGTGGCCCTGCCGTCCCTCTCTGGTCCCAGGCCCAAAGTCCTCCTCCCGGACAGAAGGCACGATCTTGACTGGGGATATCTGATCCAAATTCCAAGAGGGTCAACAATTAGAACTTTTACAATGGTGTCAGATCAACCCTGGCCTGGATTCCACCTACCTAGCCAAGCATTCAATCTGTCTTTTTATTATTGCTATTTTACAGACGGGATCTTGCTCTGTTGCCCTGGCTGCAGTGCAGTGGTGCAATCAGAGCTCACTGCAGCCTTGAACTCCTGGGTTCAAGCCATCCTCCCACCTCAGCCTTCCGACAGCTGGGACTACAGGCAGGTGCCAGCATGCCCGGCTTATTTTTTTTTTTGAGATGGAGTCTCGCTCTGTGGCTCAGGCTGGAGTGCAGTGGCATGATCTCGGCTCACTGCAACCTCCACCTCCTGGGTTCAAGCGATTCTCCTGCCTCAGCCTCCTGAGTAGCTGGGATTACAGGAGCACGCCATCACGCCTTTTTGTATTTTTAGTAGAGACGGTGTTTTGCCATGTTGGCTAGGCTGGTCTCAAATTCCTGACCTCAGGTGATCCACCTGTCTCGGCCTCCCAAACTGCTAGGATTAGAAGCGTGACCCACAGCACCCAGCCTAACTTTTTTTTAGAGATGAGGTCTTGCAATTTTGCTCAGGCTGGTCTCAAACTTCTGGACTAAAGTGAGCCTCCTGTCTTGACCTCCTGAGCAGCTGGGATAACAGGCATGCGTCACCATCTCTGGTTCAAGTCATTGCACCTTTGAACCTGTGTCCACATCAGTAAAACAGACAGCAGCTCCAATCCTAAGTGAATGGCATTTTGTGAACCACAACCCCAGGGCCACAAAGGTGACAGCTGGTGCTCTGGGGTGACAGCCCCTGGCACAGCAGGGTGATCAGTGTGGGGCATGTGGAGGCGGCATAGTCCAGTACCATAGGCTTCTCCACGCCTCGCTGTGGCCTGTTCTTCAGTAATCAAATGGGAGCTGATGAGCCCATGGGACCTCCTCCTGCTCTGATGCAGGAAGTGTGGGGGGGCACGCGTGCACACACACACGCGTGCACACACACGTACTCATGGACACACCCAGGACCTGCTGACTTTGGCTATAGAACATTTATTGCAAACAAAATTGAGGTAAAAGAAGCTGACCCAGAACCCACGCCCGTCCAGGCTGGGGAAGTCTCTAGTTGCCCCACGCCAGGCCCCGAGCACCGCAGGCCCGAAGCAGCGCCCAGAGGACAGACGGGCCCTGCGCACTGAGGTAGCTGCATCTTAAGCCCCCATGAGTACAACTGCCCAGGGCTGCCCAATTCCTGGAGGGGAGGAAGGAGAGGCAGGCAGGGGGAGCCCCAGCTTCAGGTGGGGCACACCCCACACCCCCAAAAAACCTCCCAGCCTCTCGGGCTGGGCACTTCCTGCCTGGCCACCCAGCCAGCCATGGGGCAGCGGGGTGGCCACCAGAGGCGGGTGTGCTAGGGCACAAGGTCACTGCTGCTCCAGACAGTC